TGCATGGGCTATAAAAATAGTGATGAATCCCAAAAGCTTCATGAACAGGTGTAAGAAATGTGATGGTGTTCACGATGACCTCTCTAGTCTCCCACAAAACAATTCAATTAATCCAATCAGAGAGCAGGAAACGTGACAAGTCGCATAGTATGACTAGCAAGTGTGGATTCTCTCATGCCTGAAATTTGAGGGAAGGGTAAGAAGGTGAAAACCTGCAAAGAGCAAAGCCACAGAAAATGTGCAAATGAATCCCTTGTGATGCAAAACGCTGGGTTTTACAGGACTCTAGCACTGGTACTTAAGGTAGTTAGCTTAGAACACTGACAAACATGAGGAAGACATGACCTGTAGGACGGGGCTTCTTAAATGTTTTATCATTGATAATTTGCCACCGCAAGTTCATAATTCATTGCCTTGTTCTAAATCAGTCTCTACAGTGTCATGCTCACTGATAAAAGATCTAACAGCATTCATCTCCAGCTAGTTCTAACATAAATCTATAGCTTAGCATTTAACCATAAATTACATTTACTGTAAATACCCAAATCTCTAATACCAGAGGAGACTGCTCTGTGAGCTGAAAGTTACAGGAAGAGCACTAGGACTTCCAGTGTCTGCTCCCAGAGTCACAGCAGCTGTGCTGGCCTGTCAAGTGCCCTTCCCATTAGTGAATGAGTATCTACGTAAACATGATTCAGTGGAAAGTCATCAAATGCCTACTAGTGCACTCGGTTGCATTAATACTATATATATTAAACCTCATAATCCTTTACTGTCAAGTGCTTAAGGCATGTTATGTGGTTATGTGCTTAATCCTGTTTTATTCATTGCTTTATATGAATGCTTTGTTTTCTTTTTATATGTAAAGATTTACTAACACTAATTTGAGTGAATGAATTAGAATATGGACTGCAAATGTGTATCTGTTTGTACTATTTGAATTATCGCAGAATGGTATGTGCCTTCTCAGGCACTTTCTAAAATACCCACTTCTGAGAAACTTTTGAGAGGATTCCCTAGGGAAAATCCTAGTTCTCAAACTTGCTTATCCAGTACAAAAAATGTAAATCTCCAAAGCTATTACAAGGCTGCAGGACTTCAAGTTTTAATCTGTTGATGTTAAAAGTGTAGGAGCTGAAATTCCTGCTATCAAGTATTTCAGAGATCCATTTGATGTACAGGCAGTCCCCGGGTTACATGGATCCGACTTACATTGGATCCCTACTTACAAACGGGGTGAGGCAACCCCGCACTAGCTGCTTCCCCCCAGCAGACCAGGGAGACACGAAGCTAGTGCTCCCCCCAGCAGACCAGGGAGACACGGAGCAGCTTTTCTCAGCAGACACCTCAGCTTGAGAATAAAGGACGGAGGGAAGTGAGGTGTGGGAGAGTAAAACTGAGCTCTGGAGAAATGTTTGGCTAGAGTTTCTCCTACAATATGTACCAGTTCCGACTTACATACAAATTCAACTTAAGAACAAACCTACAGTCCCTATCTTGTACGTAACCCGGGGACTGCCTGTATTATCAATCTAATATTATTATCCAATCAGTTTAGGGATTGAAGGTCAACTCATCAACAGTACTGATGAGTCATCGCCAAATTGGCTTTCATATATAAAGGCTTGAATGCATTAGATTTTTTATCTAGAAATGTTGATAACCGTCAATGTCACCACACACAAACAGAAGAAAAAAGTCCATTGATAACAATCAAAAAGTACAGATATGCAAACTAAGAAAAACGATGCTTAGGAACTGATCAGGGATTGATTTCAGGCTGTTTTGCTTTGGATATTTTGATAAGTGATGTTGACAATTTGTGTTTTAAGATATAAAGCATTGATTTTTTTTAATGTTAACATCGACTCTCCTTAATTAACTATTATCTAACTGCCCCACAGATAATTTTCCACAACTGTTACAATTTAAATTGATAAAAATTGTAAAATGAGACTAAAAATAAATAGTGATATTATCAGTCAAAATATAAACACATAAAAATAGAATGCTGCTAATCTTACTTGTATAGCACGGTACATAAAACAAGATTATGTGAACAGAACAAAAAATACCCCATTGTAATACATTCTCTTTTAATTATGTGTTATCTAGATGCACATGAGTACAGCAGATACCTAAATGACAATGTGCCAAACATTACTCTGTTGTATTCCATCATAGCTGTGGCTGCATTTGGGATATTGGGTGAATTAAGAAGGAAGGAAGAAATGGAGAGAAGATAAAGAAGGAAGCATTAGAAATGGAGTTTTCTACATATTGCAGCGATAAAAGAGGTTTACCAATCTTGCCAGAGTAGCACATTTTATTGGGGGGCAAGGGGCGAGGCGGGGGAGAAAAGTTTATGACTGTAGAGATGGAACATTTGTGGGATGGGATGTAATTGCTTCCATTATTGGGCTTTGCCACTGCACATGCTATTTTCCATGTGTGAAATTTTCACAACCTCTGTGAGTGAAATACACTGAATGGCCAGATTTAGGACATCTTTTTGGTAGTCCTAAAACATTGTAATACACTAGCCATTCAACAACCTTGCTTTATTTAATGTATGTAATGTATTTATAATAAATCTTTCAGAAGGCAGCAGGGCTTTGGGTTAATTCAGATTCATATTACTGTGGCCCCCTGGAGAACAAAATAACAAACTGTAAAAAATAACATTTTAGTAGGCATCAGCCAGGTCTCCATTTTGCACACATAGTTTTGACCACATCAATGAAGGGGTGCCCAGTGTTTTAGATGGACCTAGCATGAAATCCTGACACCACTGAAAAAAATGGGAATTTTGCCATTGTCTTCCGTGCAGCTAGGATTTCCCCCCTTAAAGTGAGCTGAGTAGAATTAACCATTACAAAAACATTACTGTGATGTCATATTACTGGTTCAGTCGTGAGAGGCCTAACTTGCCCTCTAAGAACATCAGCGAGGATGGCTGAGTCAGTGTAGAGAAGAAATAAGCTGCCCTGGGAAAAGCACTGGTGCAGTTTACTTCCCTCAGTGACCAAGAAGGAAGCAATTTTATTCCTGTTCTGCTCCAGACAGAGCACAGCTACATGCAGTCTCTTACTTGGACAGAGTTGCCAGTCTGCCCTACATAAATTGTTACAATTGTTACTGTGTATGCCGGGAACTCTACCTTGTTCAAATGTTTTCATTTTTAAAATACAGGTTCATCTCATTTCTTTTTTTACCTTTCCCATAGAGCCAGAAGTTTCCCTCCTCAACATAAAAACCAGATTGTATTCCTTTAGTCAAGACCCATAGTCCTGTGTGCCATTAGTTCTACAAACGTGCATCACCAGTGGTCTCTGGAGCCCCTTCTATTATCTACTCAATAAAATACTTAGGGAAGGAGAAGTGAGAGGTTGGCTGGGATGGGTAAAGAAATGGAGTCATGAGAAGTATCTTTCTTGTATGAAGCAGTCTGCAGAAGGAAATGCCATTCTGATGTCATGTACGGCTATATAAGATTAATGTATTCAGTTTCTTGCTCTTCAGAAATATAACAAGTAATCCACAAATGTGTGTAAAAGGAGTCAGTCCTGAAAGATGTTGAGCATCTGTAGCTACCAGGACTGCATGGAATAGTTCTTCCTTAATCCGAAAAAACAGGTTTTGTAGAATGCATGCTAAATTCTGCTTTTCTCTGCACCCAAACAAACACAAGGAAGTTTTTCTTCACTCAGTGCACAGTCAATCTGTGGAACTCCTTGCCAGAGGATGTGGTGAAAGCTAGAACTTTAACAGGGTTCAGAAAAGAGCTAGATAGATTCATAGAGGTTAGGTCCATCAATGGCTATTAGCCAGGATGGGTAGGAATGGTAACCCTAGCCTCTGTTTCTCTGGAGGTGGGTAACAGGGAAGGGATCATGTGAAAATTACCTGTTGTGATCTCTCCCTCTGGGGCATCTGGTATTGGTC